GGCCTGTAGGCCCTGTCAGAAGGAAGCTTCCAGGCAAGAGCCTGGAAGTTTCCCTGTAGGGAAACAGGCTGGGGCCTGTAGGCCCTGTCAGAAGGAAGCTTCCAGGCAAGAGCCTGGAAGTTTCCCTGTAGGGAAACAGGTTGGGGCCTGTACAGCATGTAACAAGCAGCTAGTGGTCGTGGGGACCCTGGGTTGCCCTGACGTGGTTTCCCACCTTGCACCCTTGGACCTCTGTAGGAACTGCCATCTCCCGGGCACCCTAGATCTCAATGGGTACAACCCAAGTTTGCTCTCTTGACAGCTAAATGCTATTCAGTTGTGCCATAGTAGGTCAGCAAGGTTCCCACAACTATTAGGTCTCCCACCACCTCCAATGGTTCCGTTGCCTTCTACGAACAACCCCAAACCTTCGACATTTACCAACCAACCTAAAGCCGAGAACCTGCAGTGAAGATTCTTTGAAATAGCCTCTAGATTAGGTAAGATTCGGTGAGATAAACTTAACACCCAATTTTGGAATTACTATGTTATACTAAGGCTCTGATATGGGAATAGGGATGGAGGGTTGCCTGAATCAAACCTTAGGACCCAATCCCCAGAGTATGAGCAAACTACTGCACTACACGAGGTTTTGCATAGAAGAAAACAAAGGAAGAGTGCACCAAATGAAACATATGCCCAGATACGGAATACTAATGACTAAATACAATCAAGATTGCCGCCATTGACACCAAAGCACATAGCAGGAGGAGCTTGAAAGAGGGTTACAGTATTTCCAGATATTATCGTGCACGATAGTCATGAAGTAAGCCACTCTTAAGGAGTAAAAACTTATGGCCGGGTTAGTGCACTCTAAATATTCCCTGCTAGAGAGTGGCTTAGTTAACACAGAGGGGCCTTAATTCCAACCGAGATGCTCCCACCACCACCAGAGGAACTCCCACTCCCATTGGTGGCGCTGCCGCCCGTAGAGCTTCAGGTCTTCACGCTCCCAGTAGAGATAGTCAACAGTAGTTCTCACGTGCTTCTCCCACCACCAGTCCCACCACCACCGGCTGCCCACCCACTGCCTCCAGAGGTGCCGCTGTTGGATGTGCCCGCTGTCCCGTACTGGACTCTCTCTCCCTTCTTCGTGTTCACACTGCACTCTTTACCTGACCCTTGTAGATTCTGTTGTAGGATGTCTGTTGTAGGAGGAGTTGGAATCGCCCTCCTCCCTGGTATTCCACAGGGACACACAGCCCCTTGTCGGAGCCGAGGGCAATGGCCGAACCTAGAGATCATCGAGGAAAACATGGTTCCGCCCCACACCCCGAATCCCAAACTCGCTGCCGACGCAGAGCGCTGCCGTCTCCGGACACCGAGTACGGGTAGCGCAGTGATTCATCGGGCTGCGTTCCCCACCGATTCCGAATCTGCCGGCATTTATGGCCTCTTTGAATCTGACAGGATATAAGGCGTGGACGAATCTGATCACCGTGGAGTCCTAATGTCAGTATTATGCCCTCAATCTTTGGGCGAGGTCCCACTTGCCTGAACCCCCCCCTTTCTGGACAGTAGATTCAGAGAACCGGATAAGGTCGAGCCTTTGCCGCCCTTGCTGAATAGTACACCGGTATAGCCGTTGATTTTCAGATGCAGAGTTCGAACCCTGCCGGGTAAAGTGAGGTTAGTGGCGATCCTGTTCAGAAAAAGAGAAACGACAGAGGGAAACAAGGCTCCTGTTTTTTTTTGACGGTCTGGGAGCCTAAGTCCTACCAAGTTTAATTTGTACAAGTCTGTGATCCGGGGTGGCCAGTCCCCTGCTCCAACGCAATCAAGAAATGACAAGAATAGGTTGGGAAAACGTACGTCAGGAACTGTGAAAACCCAATAGGACGTCCGGGGGTCTCTGAAAAACACTTCGTTGGCTGTAAACAGGGTTACGGAAGAAAGGCGGGAAAAAAATGGCGGTAATCAGTCGGCAAATTTTGTACAAGAAACGAGGGAAGTTATTGGAGGGAAATTCCGGGAATCAGTGGTCAAATTTCGGAGAACAAAGGCAGGAAGGAAATAGCAGTAATCAGCTGTCGAACTTCCGGGAAGAAAGGCGGGAATAAATTGGCGGGAAGAAATTGGTGGCGGTAATCAAAGGTCAAAAGGTGGGAGAATAAACGAGGGAAATAATTGGCAGGAAATTCCGGGAATTAGTGGTCAAATTCCGGAGAACAAAGGCAGGAAGGACATGGCAGTAATCAGCTGTCGAACTTCCGGGAAAATTAAATTGGCGGGAAGAAATTGGCGGTAATCAAAGGTCAAAAGGTGCGAAAATAAAGAAACATCATAGGGCAAGATTTTTTTTTTTTTTTTTTTTTTTAAAGGCAAATTCTTTAAGCCCAACCAATTCAATTGCCTGTCCAATCTGGACAGGACGGCCTTTCAGGCCTTTTTTATCGTCATTATAGTATTACGGGGAACCCCGTAGCAGCCACATCCGTGCTCCAGCCTCCAACGAGGGTACATGCGGCAGCTGCACCCACCTGCTACAGCAGGTGGGCGATACCGACAAGGGGTCAGCCTGATGGTAGCATCAGGACCGAGCTTCTTCGATGGGCCAGTCACTGTGCCTCCCCTCAGGTCCCCTACCCCTATGAACATCAACAGCCTGTCCTCAATGCCACTCGGGGGGACCAACGGCATATCTGTAGGTGGCGGGCGCCAAGCTTGCCCAGGAAGGTACATGAGGCCAATGGGGATTGAACCCAAGACCTCCTGCATGCCACTTGCGTGCCTTACCAACTCAGCTAAGCCGCTGGATTATAGGGCAAGATTGCGCTAAGCCCAACCGAAAAACATGTAAGACGAATTAAACGGTTGCTACGAGCGACAATATGGGGGCAAGGGGCAACATGAAATCTCCCCTTCACAGAGAGAGGAAATTATGCTTGCAGGGGTCCCCTCTAGATAGTCTTAGGAGAAGGTAGTGGAAGGTAAAGAGACAGAAGTTGAGAGAAGAATATAGAAAAAAAAAAACAATATTATTACAAAAGAGAAAAAAAAATCGACTTTTTTTTATCTGCAGTATCCTTCTGCTTTTGCGACCTAGATAAATACTGATCCTTGGATGTTCAGCCCAGTGTCCGACCTTAGGGCACTCTTATAAAAAACGCTCCGTGGCCCCATCTACACCAACCGCAGCCTCGCCATCGACTCTGTCGAGGCCGGCTTTTCTGCTAGCTACTATACCGACAAAGTTTCACTAACTCGAAAGGGGAAAAAAAAAAGAACAGAGCTACGTAAGTACATCGAGTTGTTCTCGAACAAGGCACCGTTTCCTCTTCAGGATCTTCTAGCATCTTCTATCCACTCCAAAGCTTCCAATCCAAGGATCTCCTAAGAATATGTATATAACAATTTCAATTTCCTCTATCGCGAATTTGTAACCCCTCAGTGCAGCAATGTAATCTAGCCTGCCTCTCTCTCTCTCTCTCTCTCTCTCTCTTGCGCGCGCTAATCCAGCCTCTCGCACACGCGTCTGTCGCTCTCTCTCTCTCTCTCTCTCTCTCTCTCTCTCTCTCTCTCTCTCTCTCTCTCTCTCTCTCTCTCTC